GAATTTTGTTTGAAAATCTGTTTTCGGGAGCACTCATTCAAATTTCGAATAGTTAATTGGGTTAAATCTTCAATCAATTTCGACTGTACTGATGAAAATAATCGATGGAGCAGGATGGAAAATGTTGTGGGCGAATTAAATTCTAGCAGTGAATGTGGTTTTCATGCAAGAAACTCTGTTGCATTCCAAAATCAAATGTTAAATCAGTGGAACATTGGTCAGGTCTCTGATGGTATTATTGACTGAAAAAGAAACAACATGCCAAAGCAGGGATACATTTTCATTGTCTCCAGCTTTTGTGCCTTTATATTCATTTCCTGCATGACTTCTTTACACAGGAATGAATGGAATCAGAGACCTGACGAATGTTCCTCTGATTTAACATTTGATTATGGAATGCAATGGAGTTTCTTGCATGAAAACCACATTCACTGTTAGAATATAGTTCGCCCACGACATTTTCCATCCTGCTCCATCAATTATTGTCATTAGTACAGTCGAAAAAGATTGTCGATTTAACCCAATGAACTATTAGAAATTTGAACGAGTGCTCCAAAAACAAATTTTCAAACAAAATTCTCATTACTTTAGTTTTTATGCCAGTACAGACACTTTCACATTCCTCCTAACTTTCTAAATTAGGCAAGAGAGACACCATTTAACACAAAGTATGCAGGCAAAAGGCACGTCCCTAGTTACGCGGGCCATTACAAATTATTATGCAAAACATGACTGGTTAAACCCACAAGTGACTTTTTTTAATTTTAAGGTTGGATGAAAGTTTTTGGGGGGTTTTTTGGATAAAAATTTTAATTTAGTAAAACACTTTTTGTATAAAGGTCATCAGATTAAAAAGATTAACATCTGAAGAATAAAGAACAAAGGGGGTTCTAAAAGAGTGACCATTGCTCCAAAATGAAAGACACTTGGGTGCTTCTGGAGCTTTTATATATAGAAGTATATATCCAGAGGACACGATCTAATATTATATACAGTATGTCCACTGATCACTTTTGTAATAATTCCCTTTTTAGATTGTAAGCCCTCAGGGGCAGGGCCCTCCTTACCATCTTGTCTTGAATTGTGATTGTAATGTCTTCCTTATATTGTAAAGCGCTGCGCAAACTGTTGGCGCTATATAAATCCTATGTAATAATAATTAAAATTCTCTTTTATTGTGTGCATTGCAAATCAAAGAGGAACAGGAGGACTGAATTGAATGAGCTGTTTTCCCCTACACTACAGCACATTGGCAGTTATCATAGTGGTTCTAAAATATATTTAAGCATTTATTAAATATATAGGAGCTTCTTCTACAAAATAATGCAAAGATTCACATAAACCTAAGATGGCCAGTAAAGTACTTTGGGACTGTGTTTAGGCTGCAAGGAAGGAGTAAGATGGCCAGTTTGATGTAATCATTTAGCACATTTCCTGTTTTATGCAGGTAGATAATATTACTAAATGTATTCCAAACTGAAATACTTCTTATATCACAGGAAATTCAAGTGATTCCATGTGTATCGGTCTCAGTTGTATTGATCAGTTTGATTGCTAATGACTAACACACCTTTCTTGTCAGACCAGTCCAAGGATTAAGTCCTTAGAGTGCCACACATGATGTCGCCATACTCATTAGCTAGTTAGGAGATCGAATAACTGAGATGCCTCTTCACTCCCAGCCTGGACATTGACTCCCCTCTACTTCCAGGGACTGGATCAAAGGTTCTTCCTTGCTTCAGGCATCTTTCACACCATTTGCTAAAGGGTTAATCATGTTGTTGTAACCTACAGGGTCAAGAGATCAGTGTCACCTAGTGAGAGGATCTGTCCAAAAAACAGTCACATAGTGTCATGTTTAATAGTTTATCTTCACTTTTTAACTTGGACATTCAGAACACATGCTGGCCATACAAGGTTAGATTTTGAGTGGCCTATTAAACCAATTTGTACCACCAACGGTTTAAAAAAAGTCAGTCTACTAGGTCTAACTTGATGCTTTGCTCAAAGAACGTTTATGTTTTGCCAATGCAGCGCAGCAACGGTTTCACCCAGCAGCAGCCCTCCTTCCCTTTGCTGAATTTGTCTGCTAAGAGTGAAGAGAAATGCCTGATACTTCTGAATATGGTTTGCATGCAACTATCTCTCCTTCTGCCCACATGGCAGCTCTGGTGCTTGGCGATTGACCGCTTGGGCACCAGGCACTGCTCACAGTGGCAGGGAGAGAGTATTTAGTTCAGTGTATGCTCCAAATCACAACTTGGAGTTTACACAGGGCTAACTCTCCTCTCTCTCAGTGGCCAAATGTAATGGCAGGGTGTGAAAGCAAGGTGAGTATAAGTTGCTGGTGGACTGTCGACACAGACAAAGCATGGGTTCACTTTTAGGGAAACCTGTACTAGGCCATTCATGGTTTTTTTTTTTCTTCTGAAAATGATAGTTACCTGACTGCCATGCTGATGCATTGGATGTAATACTTTCTGTGGCTATGACTCGGAACTAGTATGCAGGGGAGAAGCTCTGAATTACCTCTAAGCTTCCATGCTTGTTCGGGATCAGTGACTTAGAATGCATTAAAGGGAATCTTTCCTGAGAAAAATATGCAAGCTATCATTGCTTACATCTCATTCTGCAAATGGTCATTTCCTGGGTGTCATCTTGACCCTTTGGCTTGAGGACTTTGAGTCACAGATTTAGGAAAAGCATGCAGATCATAAATTCTACATTTTTGGGGAAAAGAGAAAGAATGATGATCAATCTGGAAACCAGTCTAAAACTGGAAGTTCCTTGAGTTGGTAAAGAGATGACCTGAAAGTAAAAGAAGGAAGAGAAACAAGTTGCATTAAAGAATTAAATTTTCTTCCTAGGATGTTTCACAATTCATTCACTGATCTCTCTGAAATCTGAACTGACACTAATGACATACCTACTAACTTTCTGAGATGACGAAGAGGGACGCCTTTTAGCAGAAAGTACAGCATGTAGGCAAATGACACATCCCCACCACTCCCCTAGTTATGCAGATTTAAGAATTAATCTGCAAAAAAACAACAACAAATGCAATAATATAGCGTTTGGATAAAATGTTTAGTGTAGTATAATATTTGTAAATGTTAAATAGTACTTTTTAAAAAGGTCTAGACAGCAGAACGAAAAGGTAAGCAGTTGAGGAGAAAAGAGGGACAGAGGGACAATCCCTCCAAAAGAAGGGTCAAATGGGAGTTACGAAATTACTGAATAAGCTCAGCTGAATATGAATCACGTTCACTGCAGAATAATTGTATTACCCCCCTCAATGTATAATCTAAGGGGTCTATTCACAAAGCTGCCAAAGGATCGAGCCCTAGCTTCAGCTAGCTTCAGTTGCGGGAGCCCTTCGGTTCAGTCAAACCGAAGGGCTGCTGTACGGGCTATTCACTCTAGCCCATACAGCTGCTGAAGGCGGCCGAGCGGCTCAGCCTCACGTGATCTCACGTCTGGCTCCGTCACTGTCACTGCTAGCCCCACCCAATTGGGGTTTTAAAAAAAATAAAAATGTTAAATGTATTATTTATTTACATTTTTGAAAAAAAAAATTAACTTTTTTTTTCATCTTTTTTCACTATTTGTTATTCTGCTCGGTACCACAGATCTGCAGCATTCGGCTATTCACTCATTGCCATTCAGCCCCTACGTGAATAAGGGCGAATGGCAGCGAGTGAGCTGCCGAAGCTTCGGCTCAGCCGATCCAGATGTTGGATTCTGCACTTCGGCTCAGCGGAACATGCGGAAGGCAGCTGATGTACGGCTGATTTCAGCCGATGTACGGCTGAAATCAGCCATACTGAGCTGAAGTGAATAGCCGAATGTTCTTCGGCTCACTTCACTTGGGCTCGATTAGTCACTCGGCTGCCTCCGGCAGCTTAGTGAATGACCCTTTAAGTGATTTACTTACAGGAGCAGGGGGAATGAGGATTATGGAAAGCCTTTCTGTACACAGTACTCTTTCAATAGTTGCAGTAATAGAAATGTAAATTTTTATAGAAAATCCTTGCTGGCTGTGAAATAAAATGTAAAAGGAATTTTAACATTATTAATTAGCTGTATATATTATTTATTTTACAAAAACAAACACAGGAGTATATTTATAGAGCAGTGAATCTAACATTCACAAAACATTCAATGCAGGAGAATCTTCCCAATGCATAAGCTTTATATGCAAATAGAAGAGTTAATCCCAAATTTAAAGAATAGAACTCAAAAACTTGACAGAAAGTCTAATCCTTTCCCACTCTATCCAAAACGGAAAACAAATTACCTTTGCATACACTTTAGGTGCACTCCTGGACTTTATGACAGGTGTAGGAGTCACCTCAGTGTCACAATTGCATTACTAACCAAGTTAAAGTGCCGATCATATAGAGCGCTCCAAAGCTTATACTTCCCAAAACTGTAAAACACTTTGTGAAATGCACAGCTGCCTCTGAAACAGACATGGCATGCTGTGCTTCTGTGATCTCCTGTGTTCTGCTCATTCCTCAGCCTCCACCCTCCCCTCTTCAGCTTCTACATAGGAATGCTTCCCTTGCTATTGTACAAACTCTTCCAGTGGGTGTGTGTGACTCACAAATGGAAGGACAGACTTCAGTGAGCTTAGACAATCCTCCCTCCTCACTCGCCCGCCCCATCTAACCGTGCACTCCCCAACTCACTTTCCACAACTTTACAGCTATTGGAGACAGGGAGAATGTTCCCTTTCGTTGCTAAAAGTTAACTTTGTCATTTCTCGTGGCCATTTCAAAACTTTGTCATAGTGCTTTTGAGGCTGACTATATTTTAGACCTGCTGTGATTTGGATTTACAAACCTTCCTGGAGACCTTAACACTGTGTTCTGCTGAGTTTTGGATTTTGGGGCATATTTAGGTTCATTGAATACATCATTTTTGGAAAGTTGTTGAGAACTTTTTGGATTTTTGTCTTCGATGAAGAGTTAACTTCTACCTGAGTTGCGTGGGGATTTAAAAAGGGAGAACACTTTTTCGCCGGGATGTGTTTACCATTTGGGGTGCTGTTTCTCCTGGGAATTCTCAGGGCTGTGTTGGCACAGAATGGTGAGTACAAACAAAGCTATTGTACACTGATTAGAAGACCAGTGACAGGGAGACAATGTAACGAATGTGTTGTCTGAAACCTAGACAGATAAGAAAGATTGCTTTATCTTCCAAAACTACAACTTGTACCTGTTTCTTGTATACAAATTTCAGGTCACAAAGCTGTGATTTGCTCACGTACAGGTGGACCTCTCACACCTGGGCAGACTGGGCCACCCTGTCTCAGCAAAGGGCATCCCAGTTTTTGCATCTACGGTGGTGGCCAATCTGACAAATGTGGGCAGTCCACTCAGGTGATGACGTTCAATAGCACGAGATTTGGTTGTCCCACATATACGCACCTTTACATTCGTTCATTACATTGAACAATATCTGAGCGGCAGGTCTGTCAAAGGAAATCTGTGCAATCAACCATTTGTAGAAAAGGATTACATTGATTCTTCTCTGTAGAAACTTAAACATGTGGGTACATCTCTAGGATCTGTACATCTACAGTATGTTGTAAATATACATTTGTATCAATAGAATCATAGTACTTGTAAGGTGAAATATTGATGAATTTCATGACAACCAACACATGCCACCTTCTTCAAGTAACCTCCTTCCCCAGGTAACCCGGAGAAAAAGGAATTGTTCTACCAAAATGTTGATTGTCATTTAAATCATCACTATTTCACCTTACAAGTCCTGTGATTAACTGAATTCTTCATTGTCATTACATACCATGAGTTGTACCCAGGCAGCTGTTATTATCTGACTTTGTGCCAATATCTTTTGACAATGTTATTGCATCCATGTCTATCTGTTTACATCCATATATGGGTTAGTGACACTGTAGCAAAAAAAAAAGGTTGCCTTTACCTCTATCTTCCTTCCAGAGTGCCCCGGATCTGCCATTGGAGACTCCCAAAAATCCCATGCAGGTTATGGCATACTCAGAAAATTAGAATATGCTCAGGGCTCTGCAAGCTGCCCCAGTGTGACAGTGCTTGAGTGTGGGAATTGTCCACTTTGTCAGAGTGCTATGTTGTGGGAGGCCATACACAAGTACCTATATTCGAAAGTACCAGGTTTATGTAGAGGATCTGGTGGCAGATCCTAGTGGTATGGGAGCAAGTCAGGGGATAAGGCAGGCATTTTATGTTGCGGGCTGAAGTTATTTAGAAGGAATGCTTCTGAGTGTATGAAGCATTGCTCATCCCATGCAAAGATTTCACTTTGTGTTCTCTGCAATTAAGTAAAGGTAATCCATGCTTCACCATGCATATGGCTCATCACAAAAAATGAGGTGCATCAGAGAGAAGCATACGCTCTTGGCGTATCAGTATTTTCGCTTAAACAGGCAGACTTTTCACTGAGTGACATTCTGGGTAAGAAATCTGCAAGCCATAGAGTAGCCATACATCAACCAATATTTGCAAGTGATAATGATCAGTGTGCACCGGACAACATCATGTGCACTGGAAGCACTTGTTGCCTCAGGCAATTTTCCGGCAGGTTGGGAAATCTGAGACCAATCAGCGATTGCTCTTCTGTTTCTACAGGATAAAGAGAACGCTCGCTGTTTGGTTTCAGGAGTGGCTCAACAACAAAAGGTGAATGTTTTACAATGGCCTGGTCAAAGCCTTGAACTCAATCCAACTGAGAATCTGCGGCACTAGTCTGCTAACCAAAGTAACTAAAGTAACCTGGAACAAAAAGGATAGGTCAGAATCATTCCTGAACAATGTACAAAACTGATACATATATAAAGGCAATGACAGCTTCAGCACTTGTCTGCGTCAAACAACCATTGATCTCCCATCAACAACAGTTGTGCCCTTATTGTCATCACCACTAACATGAGACTAACACACCTTTATCTCTTGACTTGGATCACATTTTATTTTTTTGGATTAGGTCTGTTCTGTTTTCTAAAGATGCAAGGGGAACAATAGTTACCACAGAGGTTTTCCAGCATGCTGCAGGATAACTGCAACTCTAAGATCTTAATTCCCTACAAGGCATGACTATGAGAGGCTATAGGTAGGCAGACATCTTCATGAGGACCATACTTTGCTGCCTGTCTTTGAGTGAGTCTTTAGGATGCAAGAGCTTATTGTAATTCTTGCCAGAAATTGACAACAGCACACATGAAGTATTTTGATAATTCACATAAGTAAGGTTTGGGTCTTCAAGGTGATTTTGGAAGTTGAGTCATCTTCTTGTCTGATATTGAGTGACCCTGGAATAAAGGCTTTTGTTTTTCAGGCCTTGGAGTTCTAAAGCAAGCTGATTATCGCAAGAGATGCTTGAAATTGTATTGCTTTGTTGTTAGAGCCGTTTATGGCCACTCTAACACAAGCTATGCTTTGACTAATGACATTGGTAGGAAGAATAATGCTTGCTTTGACTAGCCTTAAACACAGAGTTGACGGTAGAATCTAGTGAAGATTTTCCATATTCTGAGATTGGGGGCTCTTGATACATATACATTAGCTCTGTTGAATAGAATCTAAAATGTAGATACTTAGAGAGAGATTTCTTGCCTCCTTCAGTGCATCAGAAATCACATCCAATATAACACAGACCTTTCACTTTCTCTGAACACATAGCAGCCAATCAGACACCTGATCTTCTTGTAAGTAAAGGACAGAGATCTGATAATATAGACCAGTGGTCTCCAAAAATGCAGGCCCTGGGCGCCAGATGCAACCCTTTGCTCACATTTATCTGGCCCTGACACCAACAAATTGGCACATTTCCTCCCACTGACACCAGCAATGGTGCACCATTGCTCACATTGACACTAACGACGATGGGGCACTATTTAAAACAAATGATGGGGCACAATTCTTCCCACTAAACCAACAATGATACACAATTTCTTCCAATGATACTAGCAATTGGGAACAATTTCTCCCACTGATACCATTGTTAGGTCACTATTTCTCCCACTGATACCAATGACGGGCACTATTCCTTGCACTGACACCAACAATGGGGCATTATTCCTCCCCCCACTGTCCACAGGAGGTAGGTAATTTTTTTACTCCCACTGAGCCTGGGACATTGTTTATTTGCACTGATTTTCTACTCCCACTGGCCACAGTCTGACCTCCCTTTGAGGACAGTGAACTGACCGTTTATTAAGTTTGGGGACTGATATAGATCATAAAGTGTTCTAAAAGAGGTAGAAGTTTTCATATAGACCAATTATTGATAATATATGGGCAGCTTTAAAGTGCAGCAAATGCCTTTATAGACTTGAAATGGTTCACATACATTCAAGTACTGTGCATAAGCTAATGGTCCATCTGCACATCATATGTGTGGTCGCCGTCTTTGAAGGCCAGATTATAAAAAACATGTCACGCAAAAGTGAAAACAAAAACATTCCACACCATTTCTTGCCTCCTCATCAGTTGTGCACTCATGTGATACTATGTCTATCTGAACATCCAATAAAGACGGTATGATAAACAGGACCTCGGAGTGCCGGTGACTAATTTCCAATACTTTGCTTTGGAGATTTCAGCACCCACGAAAGGATAGTATTTGGGATTCCAGTTTGGAGTGTGGAGGGATATTTGATACTTGTTCTTTTACAACTGCTACAGAAGCTTGGTAAAGTTGGGAACATGAGAGACTGCATGCAAATAGAAAACCCTGTGAGATATAAGATATGGTTTCAATTTGAAGTGTAGTGTACGCCTATAATACCTTCCCTTGTTTCGCCCTCCTTCCCGATCAACATAAAATTCAGTGTTTTCAATCAAATCAATTTGTTTTTCAAGAAATACCTGTTTTAAGTTCCAGTAATGTCATCACTGGGTCTGTTTGCAGCTCTTTGGTGGAAGGGGCATGCAGGCTTCTGTAAACATCGCAGCTTTCTGACTTGGATCTTTTATAATTATATGAAAAAACACGTCCTCAGGATTTCTTTAGATGTGCCTGCTTCTCCCTGCTGGCCACTGGGTGCTGCAGACTTTAGCTATGCAGGCTGCTGATTGCTTAAAGAGTTATTAAACCCACACTTTTTTTGCATATATCTTCTGCTAGCAAGCAGTAGATATATGCAAAAACGTAAAAAAAAACCTTTTGAAACAGGTTTAAATTTACCTGTGTCTCTGCCGCGTGCTCCCGTCCGAACATCTGGAAAATTTCCCGGGCGGCCGCAGCGGATCTTGGGGTGGGCGCATGCGCAGTTCAGATGTTCGGCCGGGAGACGAGGAGAGACATAATGTAAGTATATGGAGCAGCGTGCACTCACACAGACTCTGTGGGACATCAGAGAAGAGGAGGACAGAGGAGTCAGCGCTGGAGAGAAGGCTGAAAAGGACAGTAAGGAAGAAGATGATCGGATTAAGAGGCATCATTTAAGGTAAGTCCTTACACTAACATTGGGTGGGGGGAAACAAAATAGCCTTTAATTTCACTTTAACTTGTTGCAGGCATGTCTAAAGGGATGCTGGGGGGGTATCTTATTTCACATACAGCTGATAGCTGTGAGAGACCAATGACTGTACAGATCAGGGAGAGAAGCGATTGATGAATGGTGGAGGTCAATTAGACAAAAAATGAAGGCAGGCTCAAGATAGCTGCTCCAGCTTCGAAGGGTCATATTGTAGAGATGCAAGTTTGCAGGAAATTAAGAGTAATCAATTTCAACACAGAAGTGTGGGGAAAAAGGTAAGGCTGAAGTACACCTGAAAGTCCAATTCTATTTTTTTTTGTACAGAACATTTAGAAACACTGTAAGGTTTTAATTCTATCTGTATCTCCATTGGATACATTTACCCTTACTTCCTGTCCTGATGACATGGTATCACAGAGGGAGGAAGGAATGGGATAGCTCTATGATAATTACAAAAGACATCAACAAAAGCACATGTAATAGGTAAAATGGGAAAGGGTTAGAATATTTGTTGGATTTTTCTTGCTCTCTGTGTCCCCTGTCCCATTAGCACCCATACATTTATTTTCTTATCCTGGTGTTGCAGGTACAGGAAGTTAAGTGG